AATGGGTAAAGGTGAAAAAGGATTTAAAAGGTCTGAAGAGAGTCAAGCTGTTTCAGCTACCTGGCTTAGGCTTTCAAGAGGAAGGAGGACCTCTAGTTTAATGGATTACACCTGGGGACGATTTGAGGAGGCTGTCGCTATTATTCCTTGAACAATACTCCGGAATTCACCAATCTACTTTGAGTGAATTCCCTGGGCGGGTTGTCTCCAGAGTCTCTTTGCGGAATCCCAGCAAACTACTTGCCTTTGGAACTTTTACAGCCTCGGCTTTAGAAGAGGTTTTTGTTTTAATATTTGTCCATGAGTATCCAGGGCTCATGTATTAAGTTAATATCAATCATAACTGAATAATTTTATAAAGAACAGTTTGGACATGCTTGCCAGGTGGCCAGAGTTTGTTCCTCAGAGAGATTTGTTCCTAGGACCCTACGCACTGCCAACACAGTGGAGATATTAAGAGAGGCACATAAGAAACCATTTTCTCAGAAGCTACAATTACTGGAGTTAGAAGCATAGAATGAATAATAAGACCAACAAAAATTATACAGAGGTAGCCCACCAGTGAGTTCACAAAAAGCAATGAACCTGGGACGTCAGGAGGACACTTCCTTGGCTCTCAGGGTCCATGTGAACCTGGCACATCAGGAGGTCACTTCCTTGGCCCTCAGGGTCCCTGGCTAGCAATCCTGAGTTGGGGCCATCGTGTAGGATTTTCGTCCATGACACAGGGCCTCAACATCTCAGTGCTTTGCGGTCCCCAACAAAAATAAACTTTTATTACCTTATAAACAAAAATTATTTTAAACGAGAAACTATACTCTCATTTAAAATATATTTGAGTAATATAATAAGCGCTGGACTGTGAACTACAACATTAGCAATTTAAGCCCATCAGCCACTGCGCAGGAGAAAGATGAGGCTTTTTGCTTCTGCAAAGATTTAAAGCCTCGAAAATCCTATACAGGATCGCTGTGAGTTGGAACTGACCCAAAGGCACTTAACAACAGTGAGTTCAGTGATACTAATATTTTTTCTAGCTGTGTTATGGTTGACTGTTGGTGCCTGTTGCTTATGGAGTCTTTTCTTCCCTTTGCAGGTTTTCATCTCTGTGAACTGCTTAAGCACAGATTTCTCATCTCAGAAAGGTGTGAAAGGATTGCCTCTTAACATTCAAATTGACACATACAGTTATAACAACCGGAGTAATAAACCTGTACATCGTGCCTATTGTCAGATAAAAGTCTTCTGTGACAAGGTAAGATTGGAGAGGGATGCTTAGAATAAAGAGAGCTTGAAATACACTCTTTCTCACAGGAAAAAAGACAAGGATCTTTCTAAAATGTTCAATATGAATGTATTGCTGCTGGTATAAAATCCTACCCCCACTACCACCAAATTGACTCCAACTCTGACCCACCCTGTAGGACAGAGTAGAACTGCTTCCTCCTTTTGATTTCTGAGACTGTAAATATTTATGAGAGCAGAGACAGCCTCATCTTTCTCACCACAGAGTGACGGGTGGGTTTGAACTGCTGACCTTTTCTGGTAGTAGCCCAATGCCTAACCCGTAGCACCACCAGGGTTTCTACTGATATAAAGTTGTTGTTGTTGTTGTTAAGTGCCATCGAGTCGGGTCCGACCCATAGCGACCCTGTACAGGGTTTCCGAGGGTGTAAATCTTTACGGGAGTAGAAAGCC